GACAGAATATCCGTGTTGAGATGGCAGCAAAAATAAGTGAGTTCTAAACAGAATTTCAATTTCTTAGTGGTTATGCAACTGTTTAAATCGAGCACTGGCGATTTGCCAAATTTATTGGACTCACTCCAAAACAAAAGAATGCAATCGCTCTTTAAAGATTCTGCAGTCAGACTGTGCGATGTGTATTTTCGTTGGATTTATTTGAAACCTTCGAGTCGTTGCAGATTATTGAAATTGAACCTTGACACGAGATTTCTTCACTGTTTATAATGCCGTTAGTAATAAGTTATTTTTAACAATTATGCCACAAGAATCTAGTTAAAAGCATCTATTTATGCGACAGTGAATAGGTGGAAAATGAGAGGTGTAGTTAGCGTGTAATAAGAGCGACAAAGGAAAAAAACGTGCACTAATTTGAAAAGAACATGGTTCATAATGAGTTTTAATTTTTCAGGCTCTGATGGGTTAGAAAACCAGCTGGAAAGACTTAAGGTACTGCTCAAGAATCATCATTTTTCACAATGGATTTTATGAATAATGTTTAACACTTTAAAGAAAGTCGTGAATTTCAAGCATTAATTTCCAGCGAGAGAAAAATAAGCGTTGTAAACCATCTGAGTGTAACAGTTCGCTGTCTTCTTGTAGTAGGCAATCTTTCTTTTTTTTGCGGTTTAGATAACCTCACAGAAAAATGAAGGGTTTTTTTTTAGATTTGTTTACCAACTATGAGACGGAAAAAAAAAGTTTTTTTTTAGTAATAATATTTAGAAGCTTTCACTCTGCTTTATTTTTGATTAAGTTAGTCGAACTACCGGCAAAAGTGAGTAGCGGTATTAGGAAGGAGTCGGTTGCCGCTGTGATTACAAACGTTTGGTTGCTCGAGATAAACGAAACTTACCCCATCTATCGTTATGATGTGCAAATTTTTGAACTATATCCAGGTAAAAAAGGAACGGTGGAGCCGCGAGCTAAGGAAATAACAAGAAACACTCGAGAAGAGTAAGGTTTTGCTTTATTTATATCACCTACAAATTGGCTGTACTTCAATTCTTCTTATGATATATTAGGAACCGTTTTTTAACATTTTCCTTGCGACAGTTCTTGATTGATGTAATAAAGTGTTACTGGCTGAAATCTCATTTTCAGTAGCATTCAGGAGTCTACTTTTTCAGCTACTTAATAGTTGATCGCAGAAACAAATGTCTTCTAGTATTGAAAAAGCTCTTCGAGCAAAACAGAGACTTTTTTGGCAACAAAAGCTGTTTAGTATACGATCGAGCCTCAATCTTGTTCTCTTGTCTAAAGCTACAAATACCGAAAAGTGGGGTATGCACATTTACCAGAGCCAGTTTTATAGCAATATTCTCTTCTTTTTTTTTTTTAAATTTTGTAGTTCAGTAGTCGTATAAATAAAGCTTCAAGCAGTTTACGGGATTAGCCACTACCAAACTCCATTCTTTCGGTCAAAGCATATATAATCACTCAGGGATCCACTTTTTAGGTGAAATCTTTCAAATTGAAAATTCAAAGTTTTGAAGAAGATATGTTTTCAAGCGATTGTATCGGAGTCGAAGTAAATGTAAGCAACATTTTGCCATTTTGCAAACTACTGTAAACTGCAAAGCAGTCTTTGAGAAACGCTAATGAGTAGTGTTTGAAAAATAGCCTATAATAAACTGTTTTTGAAAGGTGTTTTGGGATTGAAAAGTCGTTCTAGATAAAACCGTGCGTCGAAACTTTTCAATTGACTTCAACAGACATAAAGTCGACAGTCAGTACTTGCCCAGAGAACGTCAACAGAAATGTTCAACAATTTTATGAATTAATGTTATCACAGGAAGCTTTTTTTGCAGAGTAAGATAGCTGTTAAAAGATTGAATTGAAAAAATTCTGAACATAAATGAGTAATTTGTTCTTATTTATTGATAATTAAAAATTTTTCAATTGGAAATTGCAAATTTCTTTAGCAATGACTTCGTTTGTTACGACTCCAACCACTGCTTCTTAATGAAACCTGAGGATTTTGGATTTAATGAAGCAGACATCCCAATACTTCCAGAAGGAAAATATTGTGGTGTGGGTTCCTCTAAATCTATTAAAACCATTAGAGGGGCCAAACAGCAACGACTGATGCTTTCGATTGTTGTTGACTGTAAGATATCATTTTCTGAGAAGCTTTTTCTAATAATATCGTGGCACTTTTTCATTTGAGACTTGTCTTTCCTCTTTGGCTATTGTTTTTCGTTCTGTTCTCACTCTTAAATTTACTGAAGTAATAATTTAAGAGGAGGACGCTATAAGCTGTGAAATTTTTCCATACTCTTAACTGCGGAAAAGAAAAAGTTCTAATATCTCCTTTTATGTTTAGTGAAAAAGGGAGCCTTCCACATTGATAACCAGCCTCTAGTCGATAAAGTCAGCGAATTGTTTCGCAGAAAAACCAAATCTAAACTTACTAAGCCGGAAATCGAACTTGTGAATAAGATGTTGAAAGGTTGCTTGCGTTCCTGTTTCAAGGCTGTTCTTCAGAAATTTATAAGTTTTGAAGAGTTATTTGGATATCTGCGACATCAAGAAATATATAGCAAAATTGTAATGTTTTCTAATGAACCAAGACTTTACAGGTTTGTACGTTAGATGTTGCTATGGGAAGTACAGAACTTTTCGATTACATGAAGTGAGCGAACAAACAGCAAGAAGTCAAAAGTATAAACATTTCAAAATTATCTCAACCCCAAAGGCTAGCTATTCTTTACAACTTTTGAATGAAACGGTTCACAAACCATCTGAACTGATAATTTCAGGTTCAGCAGCCGCGAAGGCTTAATTTCAGTTGCAGATTACTTTAAAAAAGTATACGGGGAAAGCTTGAAGTATCCAGATTTAGCCCTTGTGGTGGAAAAAACTTCAAAAGGTTTGAATTATTATCCAATGGAAATGTTGGAAATTTGCGAGAACCAGCGTGTGGCTTTCCTCCAGCAGTCTGCTCTTCAAGTGCAGAATATGATTAAGGTCATTATCTTTTTCTACCTTAAGCTTAAGTTTGTGACTTATAACCTTTTGGATAGTATTTTATTTTCTACCATTGTTAAACACTTATTATTTATTTATTTTTCTGAATCTGTTTTCAAACTTTTAGGCTTGTGCTGTAGTCCCGTACCGAAGGCACGATCAAATAAAAAAATTGATGAGAGCATTAAAAATTGACCAAGGAGGTCGTAAGAATCGTTGGTGTCAAGAGTTTCGCGTAAAAGTTGCTGAGGACTGCTTAAATGTAATGTCTAAACTTGTTGCCTGGCGACCACAGTAAATCGAAGTTACTTTAGCAAGAAATAATCGAAATAATTAGCGTCATAGAATTGTGAAAATTAATGTAAAGAAGTTGTTGTTTCACTATTGCAAGAAGTGAGTAAAAAAATACTACTTGAATTCCATTCAAATTGCAATTTTACTTTATAAAACCTTTTATATTAAACCATCGTAAAACTTTTATTTTCTACTCTTTCTATCACTGCTGATTACAATAACTGCTTTTGCAGTTGAACGCACGTGTTCTCCCAAAGCCAGTTATCATTTATGGAGCAGGTTTGAGCGTTGGCGTCACTGATTCAGTTAGTTTTTTATGTTAAAGGTGTTCAAGAATCTGAAAATGAATTTTATTTGAACAGCCTTAGGCTTCTTGGAAAATGCCCCCAAATGCGAAGTATTACAAGCCTGGACAGATGAAAAAGTGGGCGATAGTCGCATTAACAACTGGAAGTGATATCTTTAGATTAAACAACTTTAGGTAAATTATTTTTCAGACTTGAATTCGTATTATGCTGCGTATAATCTTTTTTTACAAAAAGATATTTTTTCTAATTCAAGGAGCTTTTTACATCCTGTTCAATCAGACTAAAGTATATTCTCATCACACCTAAGTGCACTGTTTAGTACATGCTTTAAAAGTGAAATTGGAAGTTCCAGTTCAAAATCCCAGTCGTGTAAAGCTCTTATTAAGGTTACTTAATACTTGGAAAGTTCAGGGAGTATAAAGAGTTGTTCACTGCAAAATGCAAACAACGAGGCATGGGTGTACAGGAACCAATTTTTGAAGACTTTATAAACAATGCAGATGTTACGTGTGTTAGAAAAGTGTTTGAGAAGGCTAAAGCGAATGGAGCTGCTTTTATTCATTTTGTGACCTCTGACAAGTTGCTTTTTCATGGTAAGATGAAGCGAGGAAAACTCGACATTTGCATTTTATGGTTGTTTCTTCTCAGCGCGGGAAACTGCTGCAGTTTACAAAATTTTTGAGATTTCATTTTTCAAAAGAATTTTTTATTTAGAACAAATCAAGGTTTTCGAAGCCTTATTTCAAATTATCACCCAGAATTTGAAGACAAGCAATGCGATTCAAATAAGACGTCGCCCACAAACACTAGACAACATCGTTCATAAAACCAATCTAAAGTTTGGCGGCCTAAATTACGTCATGCAAATGGAGTCGAAAGAGTATGGAAAAAGCATTTATTTTTTATACTTTTAAGAAACTTTGTTTTTTAGTAAGTGTCAAGCTTTTTCATTTTTTTTCAATTTTTACTGGTTACCTAGTTTCAATACTTTAATTTATCTATTTAAAAATGCGTAGCATTGTGTTTAGGGCTCAAAATTGGATTGATCGCGATGATAGGATTATTATTTCTTTTGACTTTGCACCAACACTTCTACCAAGAAAATCAGAAGTCAAGGAACTTCCCTCTGTGCTTGGTGTAAGTGACTTACCAGGTCTTTTAATTATTAGTTTATTGATTTGCAGACCGATTCAGATAATGAGTTGATTTTGAATAGACATAAAATTCAAGATCTTTTGAAAAAGTAAACATTAATTAATGTTTTTACAGTTCTCAGCAAACTGTGGCAGCCATCCTCAAAACTATATTGGGTGGTATCGGTACGTTAAGTCGAATAGGGACGAGGTAGTCTTTCTCACGTTGGTCATGCTGTATAGTATTGTAAGCCATCACCGGCCACTACTGTTGCTTTTTCGTAAACATAATTAGATTGATACAAAACCGGCAATAACTTACTTAAAGTAAATTGATAGTAAACAGACTAATTAATCATTTTAAAAGTCTGTGCAAAACATGCCTAAAAAACGATAAAAAATGCTTTATTGGGTTCAAAGCGTAGGTCATGTGTGTTTCTGACATTCTGCTCTTTCTCATCCTTTCAGAATACTCCTTCGAAAAAAATTTTAATTTTTTAGTTGGACAAAAATGAAAAAGGACTTTCGGAATTCATTGCTGAAGCTCTTCGTATGACGAAGAAAAATCGCACGGAACCTAAACATATTATGATTTTGCGGGATGGGGTATCTGAGGGTCAATACAAATACGTAAAATTTTTTATATACCGTATACTTTGTACTTTTCATAGCGGTAGCTGGCACATATTATCCAAGACGCTTTTACTTCTTCCTGTAAACTTGAAAGACTATAAGATTTGGTGCCAAACAAAGCAATTAAAGCAAAACCAAGTTTATTTTCTTTAAAAAAGTATAATAAATACAGCATTATTTTCAGGTTATTAATACAGAGCTAGAACATGTTCGAAAAGGCTGTGCTTTATATGGCGGCCCTAACTATAAGCCGAAAATAACTTTCCTTGTAGTCACGAAAAACCACAACATGAGAATATTTCCAAAGGTTTGGCTTATTTCTTCTTACCTTAGTTGTTGAGAAGAAAGCGCAAATACCCGAGATTTATAAAGCCTATATTAGTTAATTGAAGACTAGTATTAGTAGCTGCATGTGGTGTCAACATTTCCAAATTTTGCTTAATCTGGTCACATGTTTGTCATAAATTTCATAGTGTTTTAAGGGCCGTTCAAAGTTTAAGGATAATATACCCCCTGGAACTGTTATTGATGAAGGCATTGTCAACCCTGTCTTAACCGAGTTTTATTTAAATCCCCATATTGCGCTCCAAGTACTATTTGGTTTCCCATTTCATAGACCTTTCAACCTATAAGTAGTTTATCAGCCTCTAATTTTTGCAAAAGATAACTCAGCCTCTCTTATTAACCTCTTATCTTCTATTTGAATTACAGGGCTCGACAAATACACCACGATACAACTTACTCTACGATACAGCAAAGCTTACCCTTGACGAGATGGAGGGGATCAGTTTTGCCTTAGCACTAAACCTGCAAATTACCACCGGTGCTACAGCGTTACCAGCTCCCGTGGTTATTGCAGATGCGATGGCAGCAAGGGGGCGAAATAATTTCAGTGGATTTTAGTAAGTTTTCAAAAGTCCTCATTTGTTAAAGCTACTCTAGATAGTGTTTTTCTTCGCTGTATATAGATGGAGTTACAGTGGTCACTTTTTGTAAATGTTGATTCAATACATTTTATAAAATAATGCTGTTGATTCCATTCTCCCATTAGCAGTAGCGATTTTCAGTATGGAGAAAAAGGGCAACATCGCAAATTACACACTGGAAAAGTTCAATGCTGAATTAGGAATCACAGGCAGACCTCTTGCTGAAATCCGATTTGCAGCATAATCATCGAGCTTTTCAATTTAGTTAGTATGTCCTTATGTCTTTTCTTATACAGTAGGGTTGTCGACCCCCCTCCACCTCCCTCCAAATTTTCTATTGGGACTCCCAACTGGACATATTTACTTAGATCATAAATACATAAATATATAAATATACATATATAAAATTATAATTATATGTTAGGATATATATATATATATATATATATATATATATAT